TGTAAAATCTAGATAAAGAGAGAGAGAAATGGGGTTTAACGTCCACTCGACACAAACTAGGTCATTTCGGGACTAACATATGGTTCAATTTTATTTCCATAATTCGCTTGCGCGTAGGGGTCTTTAGCAGTGGGAGGAAACTGGAGGACCCGGAGAAAACCCACGAGGTTGGACAGGCGACCCTACTCCTTGTCACGTACAACCGGGGAATCGAAACCACGCCAGTTGACTCAATGACAGACTTAATGATACAGCGCGCACGTGCTAACCACGATGCCATCCACCCCCCACCCCCCAAAAAAAAAAAAAAAAAAATCTAGATAAAGAGCTGACAGTTCCTGTTATATTAGTTCAAAAATAGATGATAAAAAGGGGGATATGTTGAAAATTTCAATCAAATTACTTCATGTCGAGTGGAGTTATCGTCGTTTGCAGAACAGCGTAGTCTCGATTGTTATGGCTACCATTGTTGCGATAATAAACAAATTCTCGATTATCCATTTTTAAATCAATCATTAACTGACGTATTTGCCTGGATGCCATCGCTACTCTTATTTCGAATTCCAACTATCAAAGGTTCTTTTATGTGCACGCCACCATGTACACTGGACCTCGGTTTTTCGTCCCAGCCGAACGACTAGACACTGTTCCTTGCTAGTCTATCCGCTACACCACTGACAAGGGGGAAAGAATGTCGGAATATCCCGAGCAACTTTCCCGGTCTACTCAGTACCTTAACGCGGTGTTTGCACTAGTTTGTCTTACGCATGAAGTAATAGTTTATGGTCTGATACTCAGAACCAGGAAGGGGATCACGTGGCTAAGTGGGTAAGACGCTAGCTCGCTAGCCTGGAGGTCGGGTGTTCGATCCCTGCATTGGCCGAGAAAGTTCATCCAGATTTTCCGGCGTGGTTCTCCCTTGTCAGTGATGCAGGACGGAGGGGCTGACAAGGAAAGCTGTCTAGTCGTTCGGATGGGACGAAAAACCGAGGTCCCGTGTACACATTGGCGTGCACGTAAAAGATCCCTTGGCAGTTGGAATTCGATATAAGAGTAGGCCGTAGTGCCGCTGTCCGGGCAAAATTTCCCTCATAGCACACTGTATGGCGTATGCCCGTCTTCATGAGCCCAGGTTAGGAGCAGAACAGTAGGACGTTAAACCCCATTTTATTTCATTTCAGAACCAGGAAAGGTTTTATTGACCTTTTATAATGTTCAAGTGTCCCGAGTTCACCAAGCATTCTCAGACTTTAGTTAAGAATTTGCTCAACTTTCAATCACTGTTTATGAGAAATATCTTTGATCCAGAAACACAAAACTTTACACATAGTTTCTTATTGATGTATTTGATACATTAACACAACAGAAGTTTTATAAAGGGCTATATTTTAGTTAAAATAAGGCGAATAATTTTTAGTAAATTCTTAACTTAAGCCTGAAAATGTTTTGTGAACTCAGGGGAAGAAGTCAAGTTTCTGTAATTGTTTATATTTTGTTTTTAACGCCTACCCTCTGAATTATTTACTTCAATTGGTGGTATTTTTGGTGTCTGACACAACGTCTATTATTGTTGTGCGTCAAGCTTGGGGCGGGGAGGGGGGTGGATGGCCGAATGGTTCGCGTGTGCGCGCTATATCATAAGATCTGTCATTGAGACAACTGGCGTGGTTTCAATTCCCCGGTTGTACGTGACAAGGAGTAGGGTCGCCTGTCGAACCTCGTGTGTTTTCTCCCACTACTAAAGACCCCTTCGCGCAACATATATATGTTAGTTCCAAAATGATCTAGTTCGTGTCGAGTGGACGTTGAACCCCATTTCTCTTCACCGAACCAAGAAAATAATCGGGCACAGCACATAATTCTGTTAGCCTTTACTTCCCGCAAATCGACGAAGAGTAGTAATTGTTATTTTAATATGCGAGCTTCCCACTATCATGATTCGCGCTACGATTGAAATCTCTCTCTCTCTCTCTCTCTCTCGCACTGAGTCATTGCGGTTCTCTTTCTTTGGATTTCATTTTTACATTTTTGTCTGTAAAGCAGTCCTCCTGCACTTACTATCAAACTGTTACCTCTACAATATTGTATCATCACCACACTCGATCAATGGACCTTGCTCTATATACCTATAATACGGATAATATGGATTTGTTTCCTATCAATGGCACGTTGTCTACCAGAAGACGAGGATCCTATCACATCAGTACAACTTGAGTTGAGGTGATATGTTATTGTAGTAAAATAATACCGCCTTCTAATTATATTAAGACCAGACTTAGCCTAAATATCAATTACCCTAATCGATGCTTACCTAATCGATATCAGTATGTCCATAGTTTTGTAAGTGGTCTCAGATTCCGGAAAATATATTCAAATCTTGAGTTCAATATTTACTAAACGGGATCCTATATGAAACGAAATTAGTCATGTGACTGAAAGACAGGATATGAAATCGATTTGCAAATAATTTTGTTTCATGATTCATTAGAAGAGGTCAATTAGACATCTAACAAATGGTGTTCATCTTCTACTTGTTCAAGTGGAAAAGTTGAAGTTAAATACCGGGCCCTGAGTTCACGAAGAATTCTCAGACTTAAAGATACATTATGGGAGATTAGATAAAGAACTGGTAGTTCTCAATAAAATAGTTAAAAACTAGATACTGTAAAGGGAATTTGTTGAAAATTTCAGTCAAATTGATCCACTCTAAACCGAGATTTTAGCGATTGAATTGACGGCTTAGCCTCGATCATCATTACTAAAGTCGGTAGGATAAAAAACATAGTCTCGATTTTCCAGTTCATTATTAAATTATGAATGGAGAGAGAGAGATAGAAATGGGGTTTAACGTCCACTCGACACAAACTAGGTCATTTCGGGACTAACATGGTTTAATTTTATTTACACAATTCGCTTGCGCGTAGGGGTCTTTAGCAGTGGGAGGAAACCGGAGAACCCAGAGAAAACCCACGAGGTTGGACAGGCGACCCTACTCCTTGCCACGTACAACCGGGGATTCGAAACCACGCCAGTCGACTCAATGACAGACTTTATGATACAGCGCGCGCACGCTAACCATTCAGGTATCCAACCCCCTATTATGAATGGAAGTCGAACAGTAAATCGTTACCTAATCCAATAAACATCGCAGGTTAGTGATGACACTGAGGGTTGATTATGGTCTGGATAAGTTAATTATTGTCTCATAGTTTATACATTTCAGGCCTTTAGCTCTTGCATAATGTATGTTTAAAACTACAAGAGTTTTATAAAGGGCTATATTTTAATCTTTAAGTGGCATTTAGTGATTGGGGTACACAATAACAGAACAGAATTTTTATGGGAAACAATCACTGGTTTTATTCTAATAGCACGACGTTTCGACAAGTATCCTCTTATCGTTACGATATTTTAGTTGCAATAAGGCGCACAATTTTGAGTAAACTCCAATCTGAGAATACTTTGTGAAAGCGAGACATGGACTTTTTTCCCGGGCAGCCTACTATTCATCTAGAGAGAGAGATAGAAATGGGGTTTAACGTCCACTCGACACAAACTAGGTCATTTCGGGACTAACATATGGTTTAATTTTATTTCAATAATTCGCTTGCGCGTAGGGGTCTTTAGCAGTTGAAGGAAACCGGAGAACCCGGCGAAAACCCACGAGGTTGGACAGGCGACCCTACTCCTTGTCACGTACAACTGGGGATTCGAAACCACGACAGTTGTCTCAATGACAGACTTTATGATACAGCGCGCACACGCCAACCATTTAGCCATCCAACCCTCCTACTATTCATCTAACTGTCAATGTTTCTTCAACGTGCACACCAACAAGTACACAAGTGGATCTCTGATTTGTGGTCCCATTCGAACGACTAGATGCCTTTTCCTTGCCAGCCCCCCCCCCCCCTTCCCCCCCACCATGTACCATTTACAAGTGGAAACCTGGATGCCAATTTCGATCAGTTTACCTGGACAACAACAGGATCGAACACATAAACTCTTGGTTATTACTGAGTCAGCGCAATACACACTTAGCCACGTGACCTCGATTACATGTTAAACTATAAAGAATAAACACGAAACGAAATAGGATGTACAATTTGAATCCATATACAGTTGTATATTTTTATATTTAGATCCGTCACATGTCAAACTTAATGGTCGTGTGATTTAACTTAAATTGGTTTCTCTTCTGCGAATTATTTTTAAAGATATTATTTTTACAGAGTATAGGAATAATAGACCGGATACGTGAAGGTCATATTTTATATCCTATTTTATGAATAGGATACAAACCTACCTGACTTCATAATCCATTAGGATCATGTTCCGTACCTGGTATACATATATACATTATATTTTATATCTATTTAATTGTTCGCCAATGGCCTACAATAATCGTCTGTTTCGGCCCGTGTTTATTTCGTGCGATGCTTGGATGGGAGAAAATTGTATTTTATTATTGCCTCGTCTCCCATTTTTTAACTGTTTTTTTTTTCTGGACGTTAAATATATATTGATTGAAATTATTTATGTTAGCAAATGGTCTAACACATGTGCTTTAGGTCTGTCATTAGGTCGCCTGCCTAACCTCGTGGGTTTAACCCAGTGTTCTCTAGTCCCCAACCCCTTGTGTCGAAACGAATTAATAAAAAAAAGACGTTATATATTAGTCCCGAAGTTAGAACTGAATTATATAGTCATTATTTCTAGGTAAAAAATATCGTGTTGGCTGTCAGCCACTCTCAGAACATACATAAAACTGGTACCTAAGTATGTACATCATATCGTAGACAGCAAAAGAATCACGACTCTTTCATGTGGGTCACATAGTATATTAATTATATAGTTAAGGGTATTTACTCAATTACTATCATGTTCTGTTTTTCAGCTGTAACGTCGACCTGGAAGAAGAAAGGCAGCAATTGATCGCTTGACTAGCAACCAATACCATTTCTATCTACGAATGGTACACGCTTATCGCGATACATAGGATACTATACGCTGTTATCTCGTGGCTTTTATTCACGAATGTTGCTTCACAGTACACATAAAGCTTTAGAAAGCGAGAGAGATCTCTTCGCGAATTGCTAATCGACGGTGACGTAAACTTGTGTCGCTTTGTACAAATGTAAATCTAGGCCAAGCCAGGTGTAAAGTTTTTGTTGACAGTGAATATTATTACAGTGCGTGAAGTCTCTCTAATTGTATTATTGTGGTTTGTGGAGTCGGATTTCAGTGTTTTAATTGCGAGAAACATGTTTTAATTGCGAGGAAAACGTGACCATTAAATGTAATTTGTACTCAAGATGAATTGAAAAGGTACAGCTATTCAAATAATGATTTTTATTTTATCCAGTTAAAATGTCTTTGCATAAAAATGTGCTTTAAGTAATACGTAATTAACAAGTTACGATGACGTATTCAACAGTTAACACAACGTTTCCGCATTTAGCGGAAATTCACCTAGCATCGGATCTGGAAGTGAATTCAACCGGAGGAGAATATGTAATCGACACAAATAAACGAAATCACACTGTTATGGTGGCCAGTGTTCTTTTCGGATCGGGTGTTCTCGGAAACTTATTGGCCCTGTTTGTTTTAGCAACATCGGCTCCGGAACAGAGAAAAACCTTATTCTATAAATTGGTGGCCGGATTAGCGGTTACAGATCTGTTTGGAACGTGTACCACCTCACCTGTGGTCATATCCGTGTACCTGAACAATTTTAAATGGCTGGGAGGGATGGCCATGTGTCATTATTTCTCTTTTATGATGATTTTTGCTAACTTCACCACAATGTTAATCGTCTGTGCCATGTCAATAGAAAGATACATCTGTGTTCGTCACCCCTATATATACCACACAAGATTAACGGCAACATTCGCTAAAACCACATTAATCGGTTCATGGATATTATCAATGTTAATCGCTTTTTTACCGATCGTAGGACTAGGTGAAAATTCTTTCCAGTATCCGAGGACTTGGTGTTTTTTTAATTACACGAGTAGAACTCCTGCCAATATGGCGTTTAACTATATTTATGTTATATTAGGATTAGTAACAGTCAGTGTAACTGTTATTTGTAACGGTGCCGTGATATACACTCTAATTAAAATGACCAGAAAACAAAATTTGTTAAAAACCAAAAATGGGGATGCGAGAAAGTTCCGGGGGAATAACAAACGTTATGCTGAGATCCAGATGGTCGTTTTACTCATTGGAATAACCATAGTTTTTACAACCTCGTTCTGTCCTTTGATGGTAAGTAGATTAATTGATTATTGATTAATAATTCCGATCAATAATTTTATTTATCAGTAAATCGTCAGACTTGGTGCATACAGTGCATCCAAGCGTACTATATATGTTTGTCATTCAATTCTGGAAATAATAGTCACGTCACAGACAGACAATGTCAGGCATATTTCAGGATTTGTCAGGCATAATTCCTCGGGTGTTTACCGTTATGTCCGGCAAAAATATGGCATTCAGTCCAGTGCCGTGGTTTCGACCCAAAACTTGTACATGATAAGGAATAGGGTCGCCGACCAAATCTGATTGGCTTTTACCCCGTCCTCCAGTTTCCTCCCACTGATAAAAAAACCTCTACACGCAAACGAATTATTGCAATCAGATTTTGCCATTTTATGTTAGTCCCAATGTGGTGAGAGAGAGAGAGAGAGAGAGGGAGAGAGAGAGAGTCTAACGTCCACTCGACACTAATTCCATTATACCAAAATAGTTTCGGATAAATTGCATTTATATTCCTACTAAGATCCATGATATATTTAATTTCCAAATACACCAAACCCTTGTTATGTTGTTATAGAACTGAAGCTGTGGGTGTTGTGCGCGAGGCAGGAGATGATTTACTTTTCCAGAACATTTAATATTACCTCCCTGTGACGGTTTTCGATTTAACTCAGTTCAAACAAATAACGAGATTTATGAAACTGACCTAACCACAGTATGACATACAGTTAATTAAAGGGGCATTAAAGGTTCTCACTATAATAGTTAAAATCTAGAAAATGTAAATAGAATATGCTGAAAATTTCAGTCAAAGAAAGAAAGACCTGCAATAGGCAGATTTAGCTCTTGCGTAATGTATGTTTAAGATGGCATTGTAGTTCCGCTATGGTTCAAGTAGTAATAAGTCTATGCAAGCCACAATAACGTTTCGTCATTAATCAGCTTCGAATTGAGGTCCCGTGTTGGATGGCTGAATGATTAGCGTGCGCGCGCTGTATCATAAAGTCTGTCATTGAGTCGACTGGCGTGGTTTCGAATCCCCGGTTGTACGTGACAAGGAGTAGGGTCGCCTGTCCAACCTCGTGGGTTTTCTCCGGTTCCTCCTGTTTCCTTCCACTGCTAAAGACCCCTACGCGTAAGCGAAATATGTAAATAAAATTAATTCATGTGTTAGTCCCGAAATGACCTAGTTTGTGTCGAGTGGACATTAACCCCCATTTCTCTCTCTCCCCCGTATACATTGGCATGCACGTAAAAGATCCCTTGGCAGTTGGAATTCGATATAAGAGTAGGCCGCAGTGCCGCTGTCCGGGCAAAATGTCCCTCATAGCACTGTCACAGACCTGGCCTAAACCGCAACAGAAAGTGTCTGTTTGCATCCCGTCCTCAACTTGCAGACGAACCGAGACTTATGGCCACTTGAATAAACTGCTTCCCAGGGGCTATATGCACATGAGCCCGGAATACTACTTATAATACAGTTTATTATAACAATTCAACGATAAGAGTTACAATTTTACGACTTCACAAAGGTACAGTTTATTAGTCTACGTACAGTAGCATGTCAAAACGTGGTTTGCTAATAACCATTCAACAATTGGGTCTAAATACAAAAGTTACCGTAACACTATATTTTACATTAACACAATGTCATCTCTCCTATTCTGACAGGAGGGCTAACCGCCGAAACCTACTGTATACCGGTACAAAACACAAAGGCTAGACTACTTGGCACACACGCCATGTTTCCTACCCGGAACGCTCTCTTCTCCTTCGCGCCAAAAAAACAAACATCATGTGACTCATTATTATTCATTATACCGTTATGATTGCATCATCTAGCAACTATAATTATATTAGATACTGGACAGGGGTCTCGCAAGCGCACTGTATGGCATATGCCCGTCTTCATTAACCCAGTCGGAGCAGAACAGAAGGACGTTAAACCCCATTTCATTTCATTTCTGCTTCGAATCGTAATAAATGTTGAGAGGTAATTCTAACAGTTTAAGCTCCTGTACATGCACTAAATAATGTTCATTTTTATTTATTTTTTTAAACGATATTTTATTCAATAAGAATAGGATTTGGGAACCTGCTAGGCCTATATCACCCCTCTCCTTTCAATAAAACAATATAATTACAATTAGTTTACTTAAATACATGTATATAGTCCAAACTATTCATAGTGTGTTATTAATTGATAAAATTATGAAAGGATACAATGATATTTTTACAAATAAAAAGGTTATTTGATATACATAATGTTTAATGTTGGTTTAAGGCTTGTAAGTGAACCAAAATGTAAACAGACGCTAGTGATGGCATTGATAATAGACGATTACAGTAGGCCTACTTAAAAATCTGTTACTTAATTCTAAAAGGTTTTACACCTCAGAACATATAAAGTTATTGTGTTCAAGTGAAATATCCCCGTAGATCCATATAATAGAAATTTTGTGTTGATGTATTCTGTTGGTCATGTCTTTATAGTTCTTTCGTCCGTTTTTACCCTTCCATAACGTCACTTTCTGTAAACAAACATTATTTTAATAGACTACGGATTTAAAAAATAGCGTTTTTAAGTTTTGTATTTTAGAATTTTGCGCTTTTATAAGATTCAAGACGCTTTTTATAAATAAATAAAAATATTGCTACGTTATTTCATTCGTGCTTGGTTTTTATAAATTAATTACAATGTTTCTACTTTAACTTTATGTAAAACGGGAAGTTGTTGGTTCTTTTTTTTAAATTAATAAATATGTTGCTACTTTAAGTTATGCAAATACTGTATGTGGTTTGATTAGAAGAATATTATGCAAGAGCTAAATCTGCCTATTGCAGGTTTTTCTTTAGGCCTGAAATGTTTTTTAAATTATTAATTAGACATTATCCAGACCATAATCAACTCTCGATGGCATCGGATTTCTCCGATATTAAATAGATTAGAACAGTTCAGGCATATTTTGATTTAATCTAAAAATGGAGGAGCGAGACTTAGCTTCGAACAACCAGTACGGTGGTTGCAATTATTACACACGTCTTGTCAAACCTTCAAAGGCTAATATCTTCGCTCACAATATAGTAATTTGATTGAAATTTTGAAATTATTCATTTTACATTATCTATTTTCGAACTTATATTATAGCAAGAATGGCCAGCTCTTATATAAATCTTATATAATGTCTCTTTAAGGTAGACGTAATTATATATGTATATAAAACCCCACATAAATAACATAACGTTATGTCTTGAAAAGGTGATGTTGACAGATGGGAGTGGTTATAATGTGAGAATAGTTTATTGTTAATACTGAGGATTTCAACAACCAGTAATTACTTGCGTAATCTAAAATAATTTTTTTGTAAAGTCTTGAAAAATAATGAGAGTATTTTTTATAACCTAATTAAAACAGGTAGAGGGTGGTAATTACTAGTACTTACTAATTAAGTTTTAGGCCAATAAAGTATGCCTTTAAAGTTACTTCCGGTTTCTGGATCATATGAGTTGTTGTGGTATTGTAAAAGAATAGGTAGCATTTGGGCAACTCATTAACTCGTCACTGGATGAACAAGCATAATCACGAGGAATATGTGGTGTGGGGGAGCTCATTAACGCAACAGTAACATAATTATCACTATGAAACCCAGATGGTGTTGTTTTGTGCTCGCCAACTACAAAACTTTAATAAGATCGCTTTAAATTCTGGAATTACAGCTCAACGTTGAATGTAATGGCCTGGGCATGTTAAATTATTCTGTATCCAATTTTCCCCAAACTCACTATTTGCCAATTAGTTTTGCATTAGTCAGCATGTAACATTAGTTGAAAACAGATCTTTCTCTTCGACAGATGCATTAATAGGTCTTCCATTTGTACATGGTCAGTACTTGGGCAGTCTAAACGACATGAACGTATAATTTAATCACAAATACCTCTTAGATCTTAAAGGGACTATCCCGATTTGAACAGAGCCTCAGAAATAAAAGTCTGATCACGTATGAAATTTAAACGCCAAAATATAGAGGGATGGTTTATTTACATTGTATGAAAATTTCAGCTCAGAATATTGAGTCGTTTGGACGTGAACGTCAAAACTGCTTATCCGGACATGTAACCCTTTTAAGATTTCAGGTCAGTTTTTTCGTTGGGTGACCTGATAATTGATTCCCATTCCTTTAGAGGTCTATACAATGAACGACCGATGTGCTGTACTTGATAACGAAAGGTAAATTTCACCTACACATTATTTTTATTAAATAAAAGTCTAGTTTTATCAAGACACAGCATAATACAGTTTGGGCCACCGGTCTCCATTTCCAGATGAAGACTGGCGAGTTTAAGTTGTTTTAAAACGTATCACATATATTGAGTTAGTTGCTCGGGCCTAGGGTAGAGGATTTTAAGGAATTTTAACACAAAATTAGGCAGTTTTATTCTCGAAAATATTATCGGGATTAGCCCTTTAACGTCTCCTAATACGCGGGTATACAACATTTATTGAACGAAAGGTAAAATGGAGACAGTCATTTATGGACTTCCATCAATGGGAAATGAAATGAAATGGAGTTTCCGTGTTCTTTTCTTCGAATTTTAATTGTCGGTGCTTATTTTACTCGATCACCAACGCGTGCATAAGTGCACCTCGGTTTTTCTTATGGACTTCTATCACTCGTCTTCGAATTCTGGCAGTAGTTATTTTACTTGCACACTAACGCGTACATAAGTGCGGCTCGATTTTTCTTATGAACTTCCATCAATGGGAAATGAAACGAAATGGAATTTCCGTGTACTCGTCTTCGAATTTTAATTGTCGGTGGTTATTTTACTCCCGCACCAACGCGTGCACGAGTGCACCTCGGTTTTCCTTTCTACGCGAATGACTAGACACTTTTCATTGCATGACTATTCGTCTTACACCACTGACAATGGAAAGTCAGAAACTGAAACAACCCATAGAACTTCTCGGCTAACAACTGGATTAAACCCACTCACTAAGCCACTCCTGA